GTCCTATCTCAAGAAAAAGGAAAGGAAAAAAAAAGTGGAAAGCAATGGAAGGAGGTACCTAAACATACACACAAACATGAACACCACACACACACACACACACACACACACACACACACACACACAGAACCTTTCAATAATAAAACTAAAGAGGGGCTGGAGAGATGGCTCATCAGTGAAGAACACTGGTTGTTCTTGCAGAAGACCCGGGTTTGAATCCTAGCACCCACATGGCAGCTAACAACTGTCTGTAATTCTAGTCCCAGGGGATCCGACACCCTCTTCTGACCTCCGTGGGCATTGCACAACATGGGTGCACTTACCTACATGCAGGCAATACACGCATACACATAAAACTAATAAAAAAAAATATATATATATATACACATATATTTTGGTCTTTTTGAGACAGGGTCTACCTGTAGCACCAGCTGACCTGGAACTCACTATGTAGAACAGGCTGGCCTCGAACTCACAGAGATCTGCCTGCCTCTGCCTCCCAAGTGCTGGGATTAAAGACGAGTGCTACCACACCCAACCTAAAATATTTTTTAAAAATTTATTCATTTTTATTTATACATGTATGCATATCTGTTTGTCTATATGTGCACCATGTGCATGCAGTGCCCAGAGTCCAGAAAAGGTTATTGGATTTCCTAGAACCAGAGTTAGAGGAGGTGATGAGCCACCTGGTTGTCGGTGCCAGGAATCAAACCCGAGTCCTTTGCAAGAGCAGCAAGTGCTCTTAACTACTAATCTATCTCTCCAGTCCCCTTTCACAATTTTTTTCGTTTGTTTTTTGCTTTTTTTAGTATTTCTGAGACAGGGTCTCCCTGGCCTGGAACTCACTATGTAGACCAGGCTAGCCTCAATCTCACCTGCCTCTGCTGGGATTAAAGGCATGCACCGCCACACCCGGGCCATTTCACAATTTTTAAAACATTTTTTCATAAATAGAGGAATTAATTGGTGTGTGTTTTGTTTTTTTATCAGAGAGTATCTAAGTAGTCTAGGCTGGCCTCAAATTCATGATTCTCCTGGCTTCAGCCTTCCTAGTGTTGGGACTGTAAGAATGTGCCACTAACCTTGCAAAAAAAAAAATTAAGTAATTAAAAAAAATTATTACTGTGTGTGTATGTGAGAATACAAGTATGCACAAGCCACAGTATAGAAATCAGAAGACAACTTTTGAGAGTTGGTTCTTAACTTTCACTGTGGGTTCCAGGGATTGAATTCAGGCAACAGGCTTTCATGGCAAGCACCTTTACCCAAGGAGCCATCTTGCTGGCCCTAAAAGATACGTTTAACATGCTTAAGAAGGGATAAAGGGGGCTGGAGCGATGGCTCAGTGGTTAAGAACACTGGTTGTTCTTGCCGAAGACCCAGGTTCAAATCCCAGCACCCACATGGCAGCTAACAACTGTCTGTAACTCCAGTTCCAGGGGATCTGACAGCCTTTTCTGACCTCTGTAGGCATTGCATGACACAGGTGCACTTAACTACATGCAGGTAATACATGCATATGCATAAAATAAAAATAATAAAATTAAGAAAAAATAAAGGGATAAAATAAAATATCCTGATAAATACAAGATTCTTGCAGTATTTCAAATATTGAAATAGAACTCTTATCAACTACATCCCTGTTGTTTTGTTTATGTTTTCTTTAAGTTTTTGGTGACAGGGCCTCTCTATGTAGCCAGATTGGCCTCAAACTCCAGGCACCCTTTTGTTTCAAACTCCCCAGTACTGGGATTACAGGCTTGAACCACTATTCCTGGTTAATTTCATTCCTTTAAAGTATATAATTCAACACAGATTAGATCTTCACAGAGTTGCACAACCATCACTACTAATTCCAGAACATTTTTATCATATTGTTGCCTCCATTGCCCTACAACATCTCCCAAACAATAATCTACTTTCTGTCTTTGTGGACAGCTTCTTCTGGATATTTTATATAAATGGAAGATTTATATAAATTTATATAAACACTTATATAAATAAATGAAACATGATATGTGGCCTTCTGTACTGGCTTCTTTCAAGTGGCACAGTATCTTCAAGATTTATCAGATGGCACGCATTAGTAATATTTTGCTTATTTTTATGGCTAAATATTACACTATAGGTAGTGATGATTAGTTTGTTTTGAGACAGGGTCTCACTATGTAGCCCAGGCTGGACTCAAACCCACAAAGATCCATTTGTCTCTGTTTCCAGAGTGCTAGGATTAAAGGTATGCTCCACCATGCCCATCATGATAATTAGCTTTATTTGTCAACATGACACAATCTAGAATTGCCTGAGAAGAGTCTCAAAGACGGACTGTCTAATCAGGTTGGCCTATGGCCATGGCCATGAAGGCTTGTCTTGACTGTGTTAACTGAAGTGAGAAGACTATCATGGACAGCATCATTCCTTGGTTTGGGTCTTGGACTGTGTAAGTGTAGAGAGGGATGTGGAAACAGGCAAGCATGCATGCATTTGTTTTCTTTCTGCCCTTAACTACAGATATGACCAGCTGCTTCAAGTTCTCACCTACCACCCCCATAATGCAGGACTGTAACCTGGAATTGTAAGCCAAATAATCCCTTTCTCCCCTAAGATGACTTTTTAAAAAATTATTATTATTAATGAATGTATTTTATTGAGTCTAAGCTGCTTTTTGGACAGGGTATTTTATCACTGCAACAGAAATGAAACTAGGAAAGTATGGAGCATGGGTATACTTCATCGTGCTTATCCACTCATCAATTGGTAAGGATTTGGTTAATTCCATTTGGAAGCTATTATGAATAATGCTGCCATAAACATTTGCACCTACACCTTTGTGTTTTCATATTTTTAAAAAATATTTTATTTATTTTTATTTTATGTGTATGCATGTATTTTATGAGTATGCATGAAACTCTAGTTTCAGGGGAATTCAATGCTTTCCTCTGACCTCCATGGGCATTGCACAACACAGGTGCACTTACCTACATGCAGGGTGTGGTGGCACATGCCTTTAATTCCAGCACTTGGGAGGTAGAGGCAGGCAGATTCTTGTGAGTTCAAGGCCAGCCTGGTCTACAGAGTGAGTTCAGGTCAGCTGGGACTATATTTAAATATACATATATATTTTATTTTACGTGTATGAGTGTGTACCTGCATGTATATAAGTGCACCAGTGTCATGCAATGCCCATGGAAGTCAGAAGAGGGCTTTGGATCTCCAGGAGTTAAAAATGGCTTTTAGCCACCATGTGGGTGCTGGGAATCCAGTGCTCTTAACCACTGAACCATCTCTCCAGTCTTGTTTTCAGACTTTTTGACTATATATTAAGGAGTAGAAATGCTGGAGGAATTCTTTTTATTTTTTTAATTTATTTCTTTCTGGTCCCCCCCCCTTTTTTTTGGTCTTTTTTGAAATAGGGTCTCCCTGTAGCCTCAGCTGGTCTGGAACTCACAGAAATCCCCCTGCCTCTGCCTCCCAGTGTTGGGATTAAAGGTGTGTGCCATCATGCCTGGCTGGAATTCCTTTTTTTTTAATTAATTTTTTTTTAACTTTTTAATTTATTTTTATTTTATGTGTATGGGTGTTACGCCTGAATGTATATAAGTGCACTCATATTGTGCAATGTCTGTGGAGGACGGAAGGTGTTGGATCCCCCAGAACTGGAGTTACAGACAGTTGTTAGCCAACCATGTGGATGCTGAGATTCAAACCCAGGTCTGCTGCAAGAGCAACCAGTGGTCTTCACCACTGAGCCATTTATCCAGCCCTTTTATTTATTCATTTAAAAAAAATTATTATTATTATTATTATTATTGTTATTATTTTGGTCTTTTTTGAGACAGGGTCTTCCTGTAGCCCCAGCTGATGTGGAACTCACTATGTAGACAAGGCTATTCTTGAACTCACAGACATCTGCCTGCCTCTGCCTCCCAAGTGCTGGGACTGAAGGCATGCGCCACCACACCTGGCTTTATTCATTTTTATTTTATGTATTATGAGTGTTTTGTCTGTGTGTATAAAGTATATCACATGTGTGCAATGTCCATGGAGGCCAGAATAGGGTGCTGGATCCTATGTAACTGGAGTTACAGGTGGGTGATAGCTGCTATGTGGGTACTGGGAACAGAATCTGGGTATTCTGCAAGTGTAGCCAGTGCTCTTAACCCCCTAGCCCCTCTAATTAAAAAAAAAATATTTTTATTTTGTGAATGAATGTTTTCCCTGCATGTGTGGAAGGGTATACATCTGTGCTTGGTGCCTGAGGAGGCCAGAAGAGGGTTCCAGATCCCAGAACTGGAGTTAAGGATGGGTGTTGGCTGCCATGTGGGTGCTGGGAACTGAGCTCAGGTTCTCCAGAGAGCAGCTAGTGGTCTTAACTGCTGAGTCATATTTCCAGCCCAAGAATTCCACTTTTAAAATATCATTAGACAACAGGCATGGTGGCACATGCCTTTAATCCCAGCACTTGGGAGGCAGAGGCAGGCGGGTCTCTGTAAGTTCAAGGCCAACCTGGTCTACAAAGTGAGTTCCAGGCCAGCCCCACTCCTGTATAGGGAGACCCTGTCTCAAAAAGACCAAAAAAACACCACCAAAAAAAACACCACCAAAACAAAAGAAGATATCATTAGAGAGCACTTAACACTTATATGTAAACTTAATAACTGCAGGATTTACAATAAATAAAATCCAGAGTTTAGATAATTGTATTAGGAAAACTACTTAGTGACTAAAACATCTAAATAATCTACTTCATCTTTTTCCACTTAGACTGATGTCAACTTATACCTTATATTATTTACCTTGTCCTTTTTCAAGAAAAATGATTTTGGATTCTGGAAGAAAATTAGATCCAGTCACAATCATTTCATGGCCTCCATTTACAGAACAGCTGTTGATACTGTACTTCTCAATATGAGGAAGTTCTTGAGCAGATCGCTGAGCTGTGTTTGAAAAGTTAAGAAAAACAAAATATTAGTTTAAAATATTTCACACATACAAGATGAGCTCAAACTATTAAAAGAAAAATTTGGAGTTAATTCACTTGGGCTTTTAAAATTCAAGACAATAATAATTTGTTAAAAGGAATTAGGATGTACCAGTTGTGCTGGTGCATGCCTCCCAGCACTCAGGAGGCAGAAGCAGGCTGATCTTTCTGAGTTCTAGGCCAGCTAGTGCTACATAGTGGGACTCTGTCTCAAAAAGAGAATAAGATGTTTAGAAAAAATATAGATACACTGAAATGGCATGAAATTATTTCTTAGATTACAACTACAAAGACGAATGAGAAATTATTGTCTTTAACTTCATATTGACTTTCATACATTTACCTAATACTTCCTTTTAAACTTAGATATTGAGTTTATTCCTTCTATAAAACTGTTAAAATGTACAAATCTAATTAAAAAAATCAAGTCCAAAAATATGTAATCATATTATATACAATTAAGAGAGGACAAAGTAAAGAATGACAGGTAACCCTTCCAACAAGAGAATATACTTAGATCTCAATACATCAGGCTTCTATGTTGGAAATTTCCTAAATAATTAAAAAACTAGCCGGGCGTGGTGGCACATGTCTTTAATCGTAGCACTTGGGAGAGGCAGGCAGATCTTTGTGAGTTCGAGGCCAGCCTGATCTACACAGTGAGTTCCAGGACATCTGGGGCTACAAGGAGACCCTGTCTCAAAAAGACAAAACAAACAAACAAACAACAAAAAAAAACTGAAATATAAAATACACATTTTAATATTTAATTTCTAAAAAGCAGCTGTATTTCTATAGTGACTTCTTCTCTACTTTCATAGGGTTCAAGGAATATACTCTGATTTTTTTAATGCATAGTCATTACTTAAATTACCAACTTTATAAAGTATCTTTTGGTTTCACCCTTAGCTGATACTTCCTGTTTTAAGCCGCCACATTCTTCTAGAATGAAAAAATATGTATGGTATTTTTTTTTTTTTTTTGAGGCAGGGTCTGAGACATCCCAGGCTGCCCTTGAACTCTATATGCAGTCAAGAACGTCCCTGAACTCCTGACCCTCTTGATTCCATCTCCAAAGTGCTAGCATTACATGCACGCATCACCATGCCCAACTTTTTCTTTCCTTTCTTTCTTCACTGTTTTTGTTTTGCTTTTGGAGACACGGTCTCATGTAACTCAGACTGGTCTTGAACTTGCTCTGTAGTCAAAGATGCACTTGAACTACTACTGATCCTCCCAGCCTTTACCTCCCAAGTGTTGGGATTATACATGTGTACCCGACCCCCACTATAAATTCTGTACCATATATCTAATTACCTTTTAAAATATAAAATCTAGCTCTACGGCGAATTCTATCACCAAGATTTTCTTAGTTATTTCCCATATTCAATTGAGAAATGATAAAGTATCTGAATCTGATTTGACTCAGCAAATGGCAAAAGGGGACAAAGAGGTTCTATACTAAGTACGACAACAAATCAGGAATATATGCAGTTTGACTGAGGATATAATTCAGTTGATAGAGTGCTGCCTAGCATGCATTGGGTCCTAGATTTCATGCACAGAATCACATAAATCTGGCATGGTGATACATGCCTGTAACTCCAGCACTTGAGATTTAGGAAGAAGTTCAGGAGTCCAAAGTCATCCTAAGCTATATAGCAAACTGGAGGCCAATGTGGGAAACATGAGACTCTGTCTCCAAAATAAAATGTGTATATTTATGGGGATGTAGCAGAAACAAACCATGTAACAACAACAAAAAGCATTGTACTCTAAGCACAAGTCCATTAATAGACAAATAACCTTATATGTACTATATAGTCATACAAAGATATGAACTATCTTTGTCTCAGCTTCCTATATACAAAATAAGAGCCCAAATCAAGGAATTAGAACATATTTTGGCCCTTTTGAGACAGAGTCTCCCTGTTGTCCCAGCTGGCCTGGAACTCACTATGTAAACCAGGGTGACCTTGAACTCTCAGAGATCTACCTGCCTCTGTTTCCCAAGTGCTGGGATTAAAGGCCTGTGCCAACACACCCAGCCGGAATTAGAACGTTTTAAAATATATTTTATTTATTTGTATTTTATGTGTATGAGTGTTAAACCTGAATGTATATAAGTGTACCTGTGCTATGCAATGCACAAGGAGATCAGAAGTGGGTGTCAGATCCCCTGGAACTGGAGTTACTGATGGTTGTTAGCCACTATGTGGGTACTGAGAATCGAACCCTGATCTTCTGCAAGTTCTTAAATGTTGTGCTAGCTATCCAGTCCAAGGAATTAGAACATTTTAACATCATTCTCAGTTATTTTGTCACACCTGCTAACTGTCCCAAGGCTTTTGGCCTCTGAAGGCATGGCACACACGTAGTTCACTTACATACACTTTAATTCTTATTTAGCTGAAGGATGGTATTTTACTACACTTGATCTTAGCCAAAAGGCCGAGAAGCAATGAAGGTTGGTATTTTAATGAAACTAAGATGAAGTGTCAACAGCATCAAAATCATAGCTTCATGACTGGGTCCTCAGGAGACAAAAATAAGAAGGAAGGTGGAAGAAAGGGAGAAAGGAAGAAAACTAAGAGTTTGTCTACAGTTGCATAACTGCCTAGACTCAAACTATAGCGAGAAGCCATTTTCTAATTCCAAAATCTGTACTTTTCAAACCTCCATATGTTAGCTTATTTCCATGTCAGAAAAACAAACCAGAAAACTCAGATTTTATATCTCATTCTGTACTTTTAATATACATCACATTTTTAATCAAAACACACATAATATTACATTAAAATTATAAAATATCACACGCACACTTACAGCATTCAACAGGTGTAGAAGCTATCTGCAGAGAAAGGACTTTTCCATTGGGCTGTGGGATGTGTACACGGAACACAAGTCGTACTCTAGTATTCTTTCTGCCAATATCGGTTTCTCCTTTTCGAAGTTCTATATCTGAATTTCGGAGTTTCAAAATACCTGCACAGTCAATGCTAGGAAAGAATAATAAATTTTTCATATGATTATTCAGAAACTGTGGTTCTAAACAACTCAAATGCACAGAGACATACTGTCAATTTTCCAGGTAGCATAAAGTCATAATCACAGCACTCTAGAGATATAGAGGCAGGAAGATCAGGGGTTCAAGGTCAGTAGCAACCACATGGTGAGTTCAAAGTCAGCCTGAGCTATACAAGACTGTCTCAAAAACAAAATTTGTCAAGGAAGAGTTATATACCCCAAATCAAGTCAACAGCACATATATGAGCTGGGTGTAACAGCATTTGCCTATCATCCCATCACATAGGCAGACTGCTTCAAATTCAAGGCCAACCATGGCAACAGAATGAGACCTTGCCTCTAAATAAGTAAACCTCAAAATAAGGGGTTGGAGAGATGGCTTAGTGATTAAAATCCCTTACTGCTCTTCCAGAGGCCCCAAGATCAGTTGTTAGTACCCATATATGGTGGCTAACAACTGTCTGTAACTCCAGTTCAGGGGAATCTGATGCCCTCTTCTGGCCTTCATGGGCATTGCATGCACAGGTGTACTCACATACATGCAGAAAAAAAACACTCATACACATAAAAAAAGATTTTGAAGTAAAAAAGAAAGTGATTACAAAGGGCCAGGCATGGTGGCACACACTAATCCCAGCACTCAGGAGGCAGAGGCACACCAGTCTAGTCTCCATAGTTTCAGACCAGTAGAATTGGCCTATGTGTGCATGAAGGCCATACAACAAGGAACACAGTACCACGCAGGAGAAATTTCCCTTTAAGTTGCTGGTTAGGGTAGCCCAAGAGACTCCCAAAATAACACAGGCTGTTGCCACAGCCCTTGAAGATAAGACCTTATTGCTAAAGATACGACATACTTCGGACACAGGACTTGGAGCAATAGAGCTGGAACTAACCTGGAAGCTTTCTCTCTGAAGACTAGCTCTCATAATTCTAGGACACTATGCAAGCAGCTAAGGAAGAAAAATCAATCAATGGTTTAACCCAGGTCCAAAGCCTAATAAGCACAACAGCAGACATAACAAACTATCCCTATTGGTGTAGTACTAGAGCTCTTGTATCTAGAGGGTAATCAACAGCTATCTAATTGGACTTAAAGCCCTCTCAATGGGAGGGAACTCATGGGTAGCACCATAAATAGCCAAATACACATGGCTGGAGAGGTGATAGATCCTAGAGAAAACCCTATCTCTGTCATACCTTTAGACAAATGGAATTTACTATATACTAAATATGGATCTTTGCCAGGCATGGTGATGCATGCCATTAATCCCAGCACTTGGGAGGCAGAGGCAGGTGGATCTCTGTGAGTTCAAGGCCAGCCTGGTTTATATAACTAGTGCCAGGCCAGCTGGGGCTACAGGAGACCCTGTCTCAGAAAGACAAAAAACAAAAAAAAAAAGGAACCTTATAATCACAGACAAGTATTCCATACACCACTCATCAAAGAAGCAGCTTCTTTTTGCAAGAAATGGAGGCGATTATAGAGTTCCACAACTGGTCACACACAGAAAATATATATCTGAGAGATGTTCAGCCTTAAGTGATACATCTACAGTGGAAATTCTATACCTAAGGCTCATGGAACATAGCAGGACAGGGAATAGAGAGAATACTAATATATCCCTCAACTCTCTACAGTGAAGGTTCATACAACAAAGTGTGATGCACACAGAAGGCCACAACTGGCTAAGTTTAAGAGAAAAAGAGACTACAGAGTCCATGTCCCTGGATAGGACTCCCATACTAAACCTCACCATCCAGGATTCAGGAACCATTGCAGAAGATGGGGCAGAAAGATTGTAAGCCAGGGTTCATGCATGAACATAAGGAAATAGAGGCTTTCAGGCCACTGGAACTTGCTCATATGAACTTGCAACAATGGTGACAGCCAGCACAAGACCCATGCTGACTCAATCAGACAAAAATCCAGCATAGAACAAGGGAAATGAACAGCAGGTCCCAACCCTAGCTGAAGAACTATTGGCAACTGATTACTGCTGGGTGAGGGAGAGTAGATCTTCTTTAATGGAATGACTCTAGACAGGCTGACTAGACTCCTGTGGATGAACTTGTACTAAGGGACATCTGGATACAAATGCTTGACTGGATAGGACTTAACATATGACAAGAAAGAGTGCATGAAATCCAGTGAGGGTGTGGGGAGAGGGGTGCAGATTGGGGAAGGGGTCTAAATTTGATTAAGATCTAGTATATGAAATGCACAAAAACTCAATAAAAATATTTTAAATGAATTTTAGCATTAAAAAAATTAAACAAAATAAAACAAAGGGCCAGGCATGATGGCACATACCTTTAATCCCAACACTCAGAAGGCAGAGGCAGGCCTGTCTAGTCTACACAGAGTTTCAGGCCAGTAGAACTGGCCTATAGTTCCACAGTTACACTGTGAGACCTTATCTTAAAAAAAAAAAAAAGAAAAAAAAAGATATGAGTCCTAAAAGTTAAGAAATGCAAAAAAAAGTGTATGCAGGCCCACAAAAATAGTCTTATTTAGCAATGAAAATGTGTACTAAATTTTGTTTGAAACTACTTCTTATTTTTGTTTTTTGACAAAATAAGGGTCTCACACTGTAGCCCAGACTGGGCCAGGCGTGGTGGTGCATGCCTTTAATCCCAGCACTGGGGAGGCAGAAGCAGGTAGATCTCTCAGTTCAAGGCCAGCCTGATCTACATATCGAATTATAGGCAGCTGAGGCTATAGGGAAACCCTGTCTCAAAAAAAAAAAAAAAAAATCGTATTTTTCTGGAAGTTGTTTCAGATACCTGGCTGACATATTATTTTCAGGAAGAAGTGGAATTTCCAGAACTTTTGTACTGGCAATTATTATCTCTTGACTTGCAGTAGCAACTGTCTTTCCAGTGATTCGATGCACCTGGTAAAATGCGTGAGGTCGCAAATACCGATCATCTGCTGTTCCAATAAACATCTGTAGATTTATTGGTTTTTCATTATAGCCCAGGAGCTAAACAGAAACACAGAGAGGCAGGATTCATTATCCACACATTTTTAATAACAATAAAATGTATATATTCAAATCACAGACTATTGATACATAAAATAGCATTTAATTAGACAACAAAAAGCAAACCATAAAAAGCCTTCCAAATGTTTATAGTTAAATACTGGAACACATTACAAAAGGATGTGGAGGTGTGGAGGGTTGGGGAAAAGGCAGACAAATATCTGAATCAAGGCTGGGTGGAGTGGAGCATACCCTTAATCTCAGCACTCTGGAAGCAGAGGCAGTTGTATCTCTGTGAGTTCAAGGCCAGCCTAGTCTACAGAGCGAGTTCCAGGCAAGCTGGGGCTATAGGCTGTCTCAAAAAGTCCAGAAAAAAAGTCGCTTAAAAGAAATAGAGCCCCAATAAGTGTACAAACCAGGTATGGTGGTGCATGTCTATAACCCCATCACTTGGGAGGCAGATGCAGGAGGATCAGAATTTCAAGGCCAGTTCTGGCTACAATAATGAGTTTGAGGCTAGTTTGGGTTATATGAGACCATGTCTCAATAGTACTCAGACTCTGATAGTTGAGTGGCATGTATCTAATCAATCCTCACGCAGATAACTAAGCCTATCTTCAAGGAAAGTTGACAAATGTAAGACGGAAAGAGTAAAATGTGAGCTTCAAGGCTTTATGGCTTTAACCTGAAAATAAACCATTAGTCCACAGCTTACAGAGAGCAGCTAAAACTCCCCTAGTAAATCTAGTCTGAATTTAGGACCTTGAAGAACAAGAATAGAGTTTGGGCAAACCATAAAATCTAAGAAATGAGGGAGAAATCCCGGAATGAATAATGTCAGATATGGAAGAAGGGAACTCCAAATCAAACACATAAACTCTGCTCAAACCTTTGGTTGACTTCTGACCCATGTACCAACAGGACAACTCCCAACAATCTAAGTAAAGCTACAATAACTCAAAGGTGATGTCTGAATTGCTCTTATAGGAGATAGGCTTTCTAGGCTGACTCTTACCAAGTTAAGTGCTTGCTTAAATAAGTTCAACATACCTTAGAGGGGGGAGAGGATAGACAATTACGGCACAGGCCTAGAGAACTGGATCTTGATCATGTTCAAAGACCCTAACTATATTTAGTTAGTGCTCTGATAATAAGACTATAGCATCTAGGAAGCAGAGACAGGCAGATCTCAGGAGCTGGATGGCCAGCCAGACTAGCCTAATACAGCACCTGAATAACAACATCCAAGATTATCTTTGGGCCTCCATACACATGTGTGCATGCATACACACACACACACACAATATGGGCTAGAGATGGCTCAGCAGTTAAGAGCACTGACTGCTCTTGAGAGGACCCTAGTTCAAATCCCAGCACCCATATGGCAACTAACAACCATCTTAATCTTCAGTTCCAGGGTATCTGATACCCTCTTCTGACCTCTGAAGTGCACCACTGCATGCAATATCCATAGAGGTCAGAAGAGGGCATCAGATCTCCTGGAACTGGAGTTACAGACTGCTGCTAGCAGCCATGTGGGTCCTGGGAAGGGAACCTGGGTCCTCTGCAAATGCAACTAATGCTCTCATCCGATGAGCCAATCTTTCCAGCCCCAGTGTTTTTTACATTTATTTTTGTATGTATTTTTTACAGACAAGGTCTTACTATGTAGACCAGGCTAGTCTTGAGAACTCATAATCCCTCCTGTATCAACCTCCCACTCCAGTGCATGAGCCACCACACTTGGCTTCTTCTGACTTAAAAAAAAAAAAAGGCCAGGGGTAGTGTTGCATGCCTTTGATCCCAGCACTTGGGAGGCAGAGGTGAGTTCTAGGCCAGCTTAGTCTACATTTTGAGTTCCAGGTCAGCTGGGGCTACAGGGAAACCCTGTCTCAAAAAGACCAAAAACAAAACAAAACAAAAAAACACTCTTGGGCTGAGGAGATGGCTCATTAAGTAAAGGCAAGCCTGATGGTCTGAGTTCCATCCCCAGACCCAGTTGGTAGAGGAACAAAACTCCCAAAAACTGTCCTCTGAGCCTCACATGTATATACACTAAATAAATAAATGTAAAATAATTAAAAAAAAAAAAAAAGAGCTGGGCGTTAGTGGTGCACGCCTTTAATCCCAGCACTCGGGAGGCAGAGGCAGGTGGATCTCTGTCAGTTCAAGGTCCGCCTGGTCTACTTAGTGAGTTCTAGGCCAGCTGGGGCTACAGGGAGACCCTGTCTCAAAAAGACAAAAATTAAAAACAAACAAACGAAAAAAAAGAGCCCTCAACTCCTCTATTCACATATGGAATCCACCCCCACCCCTTTTTTGGGAAAAAGAGCATTTTAAAAAATATTTATTTTGGACTGGAAATACGGCTCAGCACACAAAATTTCATACACATAAAATAAAAAATAAATAAAATACTAAAAGTAAAATTTCAAGATATTTTATATTTGTTTTTTTCAAAAAATATTTATTTTTATTTTATGTGTATAAGCATACTGCCTGTATGCATATAAGTGCACCCATGTCGTACAATGCCTTCGGAGGTAAGAACAGGGTGTCAGGGACCCTAGAGCTGGAGATTAGGATGGTTGTTAGCTGCCATGTGGGTGCTGGGATTTGAACCAGGGTCCTCTGCAAGAGCAGTCAGTGCTCTTAACTGCTGAGCCATCATCTCTAGCCCATGTTTTTCTGCATGTGTATGTGTCTGAGTTTATGTGTACCACATGTGTGCAGGAGCCTGCAGTAGTTAGAAGAGGGTGTTGGATCCCCTGGGACTGGAATTATAGGCAGTTTTTAGCCACCCTGTGGATGTTGGGAACTGAACCCAGGTCCTTTCCAAGAGCAGCAAGTACTCTTAACTGCTGAGCTATCTCTTCAGCCTCCAAATTTTGCATTTTTATTTTAGTTATTCTGAAGCCTCTTTCCAGTAACTCTAATCTAAATCATCTCTGGGCCTTACTGACATTGATATTTTTCTCTCTTTAAGGTGGGTAATATGTGTGTGTCTTCATTTATTTGTTGTATACTACACATTTTGTCTTTTGGAAACAAAATAGAAACAAAAATCTCTAGAGACTGAAGCAAAAAATATTAACTTTTCAAAAGTGTTTCTCTTAGCTGGGTGTAGTGGTTCATGTCTATAATTCCAGCACTCAGGAGACAGGAGGATCTCTGCAAGTTTCAAGCCTGGGCTATATTATGAGTTCCAGGTCAGCCTAAGCTACAGCTTGAGACCTATCTTTAAAGACAACAAAGTGTGTCTCTGGCTAAGTCATTTTTTCTTTTATTAAGGGAAGAGTGTTAACACAGTCATGCATGCTACAAATTACGCAGCTGAGGTTCCCTCATTTGGGGAAATAACAGGGTGAGTGCATCTATGGTGCAATATGTAAGCCTTACCCTGGGAAAACCACCTTCTTGAACATGGTGTCTCCCCCTGTAAGGTAAGTACTGCTAAGTCATAATTCTTAAGGTATGCCTGAACTTTACTGAAGCTTCAGGTTGATAAATCATTGGCTTCAAAGGCTTTGAGGGAACAATTTTTTTCTTTTCAGGATATGGGGTCTTTGGCATGGCTCTAACTAGAGTCTGAAGCTCTGTATATGCTTTACAGGCAAGTCTCTAGCCTTGAAATCACTGGAAGATTGTTCTGTGATTAGCACCTATCTTCTTGATGTTTGATTCTGAGTTTCAAGATAGCTCTTTGCCAATGTTATCCCACCTTGGGTCATTTAAGAGTGCTTTGCTGAGAGTTTACCTCTCTTGATACTACTCTAGTATCCTGTAAATGTTAGTCCCTAGAAAAACTCAGTCTACTTCTATCCTCCAGCAGGTAAAAGTATGAAGCTTTCTTGCCATGCCTCCTCTTCTTTGGGATGGTGATTAGTTGCATTTAGAAGTTTATGTGCTTCAGAGAGATATCTCTCAGAAAACTTCATTCCTACTTTTGGTCCAAAATGCCTCTGTAAGAAAGTTGTACTTCATTCCTATATCAATCTATCAAGCCAGCAAAATCCATTATTCAGTTATGCCTGTGCTTGTTTGGGCTGGTTGACTGTTGACAGTCTTTCATAGAATATGATGTTCTCTCATAGAAGGAAAAGCAAGAGTCATAGAACTCTTACCTGAGTATCAAGTCATTCTTCCCAACCAGTTACAATTCTGCCCTAACTGCACATTGCCTCAGGAAGGGGCTAGAGCATGTATGCAGGAAAAGGACTAAGGGATGGGGGTCCATCTACACAGCCATAGTGGAGTCATCATCCATGCTGGGTACAGAATTTTCAGTGTGTCTACTTAAAGGTCACCCACATTCCTGCCTGTCCTCACTCATTGCTTTGTAAGCAAGCCTAATATATCATTAGTTCCCCAGAGTGAACTTTGGTGGAATCATATCTCAGTTTGTTACTGGGATTGTAGGAGGAGGGGGTAGATGTTTACATCTCCCCCAGGAAAGGAATTTTAGCAACAATGTATCAGATATCACATAACAAATGGATAAGCACCATATACCAAAGAATTCTTAGTCATATTAGATGACTCATATTTATACCAGCTTGGCAAAGACATAAGCCACCTGTCCTTTTCACAGTGGTAAAATAAACTACTGTTGTGAGAAGGTAATCACACATATAAGATTTCAAAGAGATATATAAATACATTTCATAACACATATTTCTGCCAACATTTGCTTAAGTACACATAATATAGCATTAAGAAAAAAAGGACTACTCCTTTGCAGCTCAGGGATTTTAAAGGAAGAATAAACTAGTTATCATCCTATTCCATCCCATTCCATAAAGAACATTTATGTTATAGGTTATCAGCAAATTACTACTGTTAACACTACTCTCCAAAACTTTTCCTCTACTATCAGTACACTTCTATTCACGCTTCTATTCTGCTACCTAGAACAAAGCTGTTTATTATGTTTCTATACTGTTTCCATAGCAAAGATCTGTGCCTGCTTAGTTTAACTTAAGCTGGAGGGTTAAAGCCTGAAGGTCACTAAAGCCACTTTAATAACTGCGGTTCCATTATCAGTTCTGATAAATTACTTGGGAAGGCTGAATATATCAGAAATATGAATACACAAGAAACATTGTAGAGACATTGAAAATACAAAATTAAATTTCCATAATATGAATCACTTAAAAGTAGAAATTTGACAGAACAAAAAAAAGTGAAAATGTACACATAACAATGTCATATAAAGACATCATCACTAAGCCATGTATGGTGGAGCACGCCTTTAATCCCAACACTCAGAAAGAAGAAGCAGATGGATCTGTGAGATTGAGGCTAGCCTGGTCTACATAGTGAGTTCTAGGTCACCTGAGGCTACAGGGAGACCCTGTCTCAAAAAGACCCCTCCCAAAAAAACCCACCATGGAGGAAGAAGCAAATTGTTGCAGGTATCTATAGTTCATTCCTTTTTACTAATGAGTGGCAGTATTCTATATAGATAAACCAAGCTTATATAACTATTAATCCACTTGAGTTGTTTCAAATTTTGGTTCATTAATGCTGCTATGAAAGTTGGCATGCATGTTACTGTATTCTTCTTGTACTTCTTGTTGTTTGTTTTGGGATTCTGTTGTTGTTATTGGAGACAGAGCATCACTTTATAGCCCAGACTGACCTTGAATCCACATCGATCCTCCTAGCCTCAGCTTTTTTTTTTTTGGTCTTTTTGAGACAGGGTCTCTCTATAGGCCCAGTTGGCCTGGAACTCACTGTGTAGACCAGGCTGGATTAAAGGCGGGCGCAACCTCACCCAGCTAGCCTCAGCATCTTGAATGCTGGAATTATAGGCATAAACCATGACCCCTGGCTTAAGATTCAGCATTTCTTAGTTTTATTTTGTTTTTTTTTAAATTTTATTTATTATTTTATTGATTGTGTATGAGTGTGTATTGCCTGCAAGTATGTGACTGCACCCGTGTTGTGCAATGCCGCAGAGGTCAGAAGAGGGCTTCGGATTCCCCTGGAACTGGAGTTAAGGATGGTTCGTAGCCCCCATGTGGGTGCTGGGAATTGAACCCCAGTCCTCTGCAAGAGCAGTCAGTGCTCTTAATGGCTGAGCCATCTCTCCAGCCCTGGTTTCAGTTTTTTAAATGCTATATTCAAGTGAAATCAAAATTAATATTACGATTTGAAACTTTAAAAAAATACTTGAAATATATCAAATATTATGTAATACTTTAAATTAAATTACATTTTAGTTTTATTTTAGTATGTTAAAAGAAAAATAAATATTTAAATTATAGTTTACTGGGGCTGGAGAAATGGCCTACCAGTTAAGAGCACTGGTTGCTCTTGCAGAGGACCTGGGTTTGGTTCTAGCACCCAGATGGTGGCTAACAACCATTCATAACTCCAGTTCCAGGAGATTCAACGCCCTTTTTTGACCTCCATGGGCATTTAAAACCTAAAATTATATTTTATTATTTTTAAATTTATTTTATTACTTTTAAATTATTTTAAATTATGTGTATATGTGTGTGGGTTTACACATGTGCATTAAGTGCTGGAGTTACAGGTGGATGTGAGCCACCTGAGGTAGGTGCTGAGAACTGAACTCAGGTCCTTCGGAAGAGCGGTACAAACTCTTTATTTATTTTTAAATATTTTATTTATTATTTTTATTTTTAATGTGCATGACTGCATTACCTGCATGAATTTAAGTGCACCCATGTCATGCAATGCCTGAGGAGATCAGATGAGGGCAGTGGATCCCCTGAAACTAGAGTTAGGGACAGCTGTTACCCACCATGTGGGTGGTGGGAACTGAACCTGGGTCCTCTGCAAGAACAACCAATGTTTTTAAACGCTGAGCCATCTCTCCAGCCCCTGAAGCAGTATACATTCAACCACTGGTCCATCTCTCCAGCCCCCCAAATAAATATTTAATTACAAAATGTTCAGTATAATTCTATCTGTAATGGTTTAGATAAGTGTCCTCCAAAGGCCTATTTGTTAAAGGCTTGACTGCCAGTCTATAGTGCTATTGGGAAATGGCAAACTTTAAGCACTGGGGGCTAGCTAGAAAAAAATTAGGTCATTGGGACATGATCCAAGGGATGGGCATTTTGAGAACCAGCCCTTTCCAACTCTCATTTTCAATTTCCAACCTCCACTAGAAGGGGAGCTTCCTTTGTCATGTACTCCCACCATGATGTACTGCCTCATCACAGGCCCAGAAGCAACGGGGACAATCAACTGTGAACCAAAACCTCCAAAACTGAGCCAAAAAAAAAAAAAAATCCTTCCTCCTTCCACATTTATCGCCTCATATATATTGTGAAAGTAGACTCACTATCCTTAAAAAACTTAATCTACCTTTACCTAAGAGAGAATAGTAGGAGACAGGTGTTACTAAGGGATAAATGGGTAAAAAGGGGGTAGTTAAAGGGAGGGGAAGAAGGAGGGTTACACAAAGACCTATGGGAAGAAAGGGGAAGAAGGAGCTCAAAAGAGGTAGGACCATAGCATATAGGAATTATCAAGGGAGAAATGGGGAAAATGGGGACGCTTTAAGTGGAGAGGGTGGGAAGGAAGGATAAGATAGGGAGAGAAGGGGCTGGAGAGATGGCTCAGCGGTTAAGAACACTGGTTGTTCTTGCAGAAGACGCGGGTTCGAATCCCAGCACCCACATGGCAGCTAACAACTGTCCATAACTCCAGTCCCAGGGGATCCAACCGCCTCTTTCTGACCTCCTCGGGCATTGCATGACATGGGTGCACTTACCTACATGCAGGCAATACATGCATACACATAAAATAAAAATAATAAATAATAAAAAAAAAAGATAGGGAAAGAGTAGACATAAATTGTGCCTAGCTGGCATAAAAAAACCAGAGGGAATTTTATTAGTCCAAAAGCCTACTGAAAAATTACACACAACAATACCCCTACATGAGTCCATGAGTATAGCTGAAGACCACATAACAAGAAACAGTGACAGCAGGAGAAACCTTCCTTTAAGTTGTTGGCCAGGATAGTCAGAAAGATTCCCAAAATTACACAGGCTATTGCCACAGTCCTTGATTGCCTCACATAACTTGATGGTACAACCCTATTGCTGAAGACAGGACATACTTTGGCCACAGGATTTGGAGCAACAGAGCTGGGACTGACCTGGAAGCTACCTCCCCTGAAGGCTAGCTCTCAGTTTTGGAGAGCAGTATGCAAGCTGCTAAGGGAGAACATCAATCTATAGTCCAACCCCAGCTTCAAGGCCTAAAAGCCACATCAATGACCAGCACAGCAAACCACATTGGGGCAGTAGTGGCACTTTTATCTTGGGGGTAAATCAACAGCTACCTAATGGACTTAAAGCCCACTCAATGGGAGGAAACTCTTGTGTGGTACTGTAAACCTAGCCAAATACACATAGCTGGAGAGGTCATAGATCTTAGAAAAAACTCCAAGGCTGTCACATCCCTAGACAAATGTAATATGGATCCTTAAATCTACAGACAAGTATCCCAGTCATCACCCATCAAAGAAGCTTCTTTTTCAAGAGACATGATAATTACAGTTGCACAACTGGTCACACACAGATTGTCTGTGAACTGCCCAAGTCTAAGTGTACATCTAGAATGCAACCTCTACACCTAAGGCTCACAGAACATAGAACAAGAGATGAAGAGAACACTAATGCATCTTTCAATTCTCATCAATGAAGTTCCCTCACGCAACAGAGGGCCAGGAAAGCAAAAGGTCACAAATGGCCAAAACGCAAAGAGTTAAGAGCCTGCAGAGTGTGGGTGCCCTTGGACAGGACTCCTATATCAAAATCCACCCACCCAGGGCTCAGGAACCATTGTGGAAGAGGGGGCAGAAAGATTATAAGAGCCAGGGAGGAGGTGCTTGACCATATAGAAATAGTCCTAAGGCTCCTGGGACTCTTCTCATACAAACTTACAGCAATGGTGTTACAAGACCCATGCAACCTTAAGCAGACAAAAACCCAGCATAGAACTGTGGAAATGAGCAGCAGGCCCCAATATTAGTTGAAGAATTATTGGCAGCTGATTACTGCTGGGCAAGGAAGAGATGATCTTCTTAAAGGGAGGGACTCTAGATGGGCTGACTAGATCCCAGTGAATGAACCCGCACTGAGGGACATCTGGGGACACTAACTTGACATGATAGGTCTTAACACAAATGACAGAATGTATGAACTCCCGGGGGATGGGGGGCTATGGGAGGGTACCAAAGGAAGGGGGGTATAAAGATGATTTTCTGTATGAAATACAGAAATTCAGTAAAAAATTAAAATTAATCCATCTTTCTAGTCAACCATCTAGTCTTCCATTAAATATATAAAGAGTTGAGAGAGATCTGAAACATTAATAAAATATTATCAAATACTGCTTATTTTTCAGGGTGACAAATCTGGGGCAATCTGCTGCATTACTCTTTATATTTTTCTGCATTACTTAAATGTATGTGTGTGTGTATTTATATATGGTGCATACATGTGAATGTGCCAGAGAAGGACCCTAGATATTTTTCTCTATTGCTCTCTGCCTTACTGCCTTGAGACAGGTCTCTCATTGCACTGGAAACTGACTCTTCTAGCTAGGCTAGGCTGACTGGCTAGCTAGCTAACTGTCAAGTTCAGTCTATTTCTACTCTCACCCTCACAGTGCTGGAGCTTACAGGCACATGTAGCCATGTCTGGCTTTTTAAGTAAGTGCTAGGGATTTGAAATTTGAAATCAAGTCCTCATCCTTATTGACCCCTGTATTAAAGTTTAAATGAGCATGTACTATATTTATTGATTTATTTTGTCTTTTTGAGACAGGGTCTCCCTGTAGCCCCAGCTGTCCTGGAACTCACTATGTAGCCCAGGCTGGCCTTGAACTCACAAATCTGCCTCCCTCATGCTGAGATTAAAGGTGTGCACCACCATGCCCGGCTGCATGTACTATGTTTACAAATATAAAAATAAATAAAATAGCACCATTAATATGGGGACATCATTTTTGGGTCCCTGTAGCCCCAGCTGTCCTGGGAACTATGTAGACCAGGCTGGCCTCGAACCCACAGAGATCTGCCTGCCTCTGCCTCTCGAGTGCTGGGATTAAAGGCATGCGCTACCACACCTGGCAATATACTCTTTTTTAAATCAGAAAAACAGCTATTTGACCACCACAGTCTTCTTTTGCTAGCTGAAAAGTTGGTCAGGAAGATAGCTTTTTAAAACTTATTTAAATTTTTATTTGTGTGCGTGTGTGTGTTGTGTGTGCCCATGGAGACCAGAAGAGAGCATCAAATCCTGGAGCTGGAATTACAGGCAGTTATGAGCTGTTTGACATGGGTGTTGGGAACTGAACTTGGGTCTTCTGCAACAGCAACAAGTGTTCTTAAGCACAGAGGCATCTCTCCAGTCCCCAGGAGCCATCTCTCCAGTCCCCAAGATACTTAAGACTGTTACTGAATGCAAACGAACAACTAAATCAACAAGCACACAATATAGAAGTTATCCAGATTTGAATTTTCTCTCTCTGGGCTTAGTAGTAGCTAAATGAATAGACTCATATAATCATTAACATAGATATAGTATCAAAACAAAACCCCAAAGTCTCATACCTTCACAACAGGATGTCCACCAGTAGAGGCTTTTACTGCCCCTCGACTACCTTCAGTTTCATAATGGGCACGATGATGAGTTTTAGGTTGCACTTCTATTTTCAATTCACATTGTCCAAAGTGAGTTGGTAAAGGCCAGTCTAATGGAGGTAATGAAGATGTGCTATAAACAAAACACACAAAGAATTTCACCATCAATGCCAAGCAATGATTCAAAGTGTTTCTTTGCCAGAACCAACATTTTCTCCTGTGATTTTGAAATAAGGTATTCAAAAATAAACTTCACTTAGTTTAAAATTGATTCTTGGCCAGGCCTGGTGGCGCACGCCTTTAATCCCAGCACTGTGGAGGCAGAGGCAGGCGGATCTCTGTTGAGTTCAAGGCCAGCCTGGTCTACATAGTGAGTTCCAGGCCAGCCGAGGCTACAGGGAGACCCTGTCTTAAAAAGACCCTCCCCCACCCCCAAAAAAAATCTGATTCTCAGCCGGGCATGGTGGCACATGCTTTTAATCCCAGCACTAGAGAGGTGGAGGCAGAGGCAGGCAGATCTCTGTACGTTCAAGTCCAATCTGCTCTAAATAGGGAGTTCCAGACCAGCTGGGGCTACAGAGAGACCCTGTCTCAAAAAAAAAAAAAAAAAAAAAGACAGAAAACCCTGATTATGGTAGGTATTTAATAAAGCACCTTTTAAAAAGAATTTATTATTTTTATTTTTTTTTATGTATATGCATGTATTGCCTGCACATGGGTAAGTGCAGGCAATGCCTGCGGAGGACAAGAGAGGGAGTCGGATCCCCTAGAACTGGAGTTACAGGCAGTTGTTAGCTGCCATGTGGGTGCTGGGATCTGAACCCGGGTCTTCTGCAAGAATTCAGCATTCTTAACCGTTGAGCCATCTCTCCAGCCCCATAAATCACTCTTTCTTTTTTTTCTTTTTAATATTTTATTTTTATTTTATGTGTATGAGTGTGTTGCCTGCATGTGAGTGCACCCATGTCATGCAATGCCTCAGAGGTCAGAAGAGGGCTTCGGATTCCCCTGGAACTGGAATTAAGGACGGTTCACAGCCGTCATGGGGGTGCTGGGAATCGAACCTGAGTCCTCTGCAAGAGCAGTCAGTGCTCTTAACCGCTGAGTCATCTCTCCAGTCCCACAAATCATTCTTTCTAATGAATACATAATTCTACTAAAAATCTACTGTATATGCTTTTAGGATCCACCTCCCCACTCCACCCCTACCCTGTTTTTAAAAGATAAACTAGCTATTTGTAAAATTGTATTTCTCAGCTAAGTCTCTAATTATAAAAGCAAGCAAAAGATACAGGTGCACTTAACAAACATTCAGGCAATACACTCACACACATAAAATTAAAAAAAAAATTTTTTTTTTGTCTTTTTGAGATAGGGTCTCCCCATAGCCCCAGCTGTCCTGGAACTCACAGATCTGCCTGCCTCTGCCTCCCAAGTGCTGGGAATAAAGGGGTGCACCACCACGCCCGGGGAAAATAAAGTTTTAAAAATAACATTATTGGCTGGGTGTGGTGACCCATGCCTAGCACTTGGATCTTGAGGCCAGTCTCATCTACCTAGTGAGTACCAGGACAGCTGGAGCTACAGGGAGACCTGTCTCAAAAAACAAAAACAAAAACAAAAATAAAACCCCACCATTATCAAGGGTTAGGGATGTAGCTCAGTTGGTAGTGTTTGCCTGGCATGCAAGAAGCCCTGGGTTTGCAACATAGCACTGCAGAAAACCAGGTGTAGTGGCACACACCTATAATCCCAGCACTTGGGTGTTAAAGGCAGGAGGGTCATAACTTCAAAATCATCCTCAATTATATAGTAAGTTCAAAACCAGTCTGTCTGGGCTACATGAGACCCTGTCTCAAAAAACAGAAGAGGGGGAGGAAGAAGAGGAGGCGGAAGAGGAAGAGAGGGAAGGGGAGGAGGAGAGGAGGGATGGGGGAGGGGAGGTGGGGAGAGGACGAAGAAAATAAGAAACTGGAAAGACAAAAAAAACAAAAAAATTATGAAGGCCAGGCACAATATCTCCTACTTGCAGTCCCAGTTACTTTGGGAGGCTGGAGCAGTAGGATCACAAGTTTTAGGTCAGCATGGATTAACACAGTAAGACCCTAACCTAAATAAATAAATGATGGGAAAAAAGTTTATCACAAATAGAACAAGGCAAATTATGAGCTGGGGGATAGAACTCAGTCATGCAAGCATGAGGACCTAAATACAATCCCTAGTACCCACATAAAAAAGTTGGATGCAAATAAAATAAAATATAATTAGGGCCTGTGAAATAGCTCAGCAGTAAAAGCACTTACTGTGCAGGTCTGATAATCTGAGTTCAATCCCCAAAACCCACATAAAGGTAGAAGGAAAAATCAACTCCAGAAAATCATTTTATGACCACCACACATGAGGCATGGCATACATGTGGCACGGCACACACATGTCAGCACTCATAATATCATACATACACATACTCATACAATAAAGTTAAAAAGAACAGAAACAAAGCCAGGCATGGTGGCACAAGCTTTTAATCCCAGCACCGGGAAGGCAAAGGCAGGCAGATCTGTCAGTTGAAGCCAGCCTAGTCTACACAGGGACTTCCAGCCGAGTCAGAGCTACTAAGTGAGATCTTGTCTCAAAAAACAACAAAAGCCGGGCGTGGTGGCGCACGCCTTTAATCCCAGCACTCGGAAGGCAGAGGCAGGTGGATCTCTGTGAGTTCAAGGCCAGCCTGGTCTACATAGTGAGTTCCAAGACAGCTGGGGCTACAGGGAGACCGTGTCTCAAAAAGACCAAAAAAAACCACAAAAAACCCCCAAAACCCAACAATAACAACAAAAGCTGCCACAAAAACACCCCACAAAAAAGATGAGTGCATGCAGTGGTGTGCACTTATAATCCCAGCACTGCGGAAGCAAACAGGCTCACAGATGAGTCAGCCTACTCTACTTGATGAGCTCTATACCAGTGAGGAACTCTGTCTCAAAAAGCAAGATGTAATATGATGAAAATATAATGTGTGAAATTTGCAAAAATTCAATTACAAAGGGAAAAAAAACAAAAACAAGATATATAGCTCCTGAGGAACCTACTGACATGTACGTTGTCTTCTGGCCTCCACGTGCACACACACGTGTACACACATATTCACCCACACAACAGCTCTCCAAAATATGCTTATTCCCAACTAGTTTATCAGAAATATAATTCATACTTTATAATAATCTTTTCTAGATAAGAAAATTCCTTTAGGGACCCTTAAAAGTAATTTACTATTATCTATAAATTATCACCTTTTGAAATGTAAATTTGGTCAACTTAAAAAACATTTTTGGGGCCAGGCATGGTAGTGCATGCTTTTAATCCCAGCACTTGGGAGGCAGAGGCAGAGGGATCTCTGTGGGTTCAAGGCCAGCCTGGTCTATCTATTGAGTTTGAGGAAAGCTGGGGCTACAGAAAAAAAAATGACCAAAAAACCCCCAAAACAAAAACAAAAACAAAACAAAAACATTTTTGGGAACTGAAGAGATGGCTCAGAAGTTAAGAACACTGGCTGCTCTTGCAGAGGACCTGGGTTCAAATTCTCAGAACCTACATGGCAGCTAACAACCACCTGAAACTTCAGTTCCAGGAGACCTGATGTCCTCTTCTGGCCTCCTTGGACATTGTGTGACACAGGTGCACTTATGTACATATAGGCAAAACACTCATACATATAAAGTAAAAATAAATAATTTTTTTTTTAATTGAGGGGGACAGGCATGGTCGTGTAAGGCTTTTAATCCCAGCATTCAGGTGGCAGAGGCAGGAGGACCTCTGTGAGATGGAGGCCAGCCATAGCAAGTTCCAGGTCAGCTGGGACTACAGAGAGACCCTGTCCCCCCAAAAACATAGATAGACAGATGATGGATGGATGGATAAAACAATAAAACAAAACCATTTTTGAGCCAGGTGTGGTGGTACATACCTTTAATCCCAGAACTTGAGCAGGAGAGGCAGGCTGATCTCTATGAGATCAAAGCCAGTCTGGGCTATATATGGTGAGTTTCAGTCCAGTTAGGGCTATAGAGCTCAAAACAAAACATTTTTGAGCCAGGTGTGATGGCAAACACCTTTAATCCCAGCACTCAAGAGGTAAAGACAAGCAGATCTCTGAGTTTGAGGCCACCCTGGTCTATTTAGTGAGTTCCAGGGCAGCCAGGGCTACACAGTGAAAGCTTGTCTCAAAAATAAAGTAATTAGGTTTTTTTGGGTGCTTTTTTATTTATTTATTTATTTTTTTTGGTCTTTTTGTGTCAGGGTCTCCCTGTAGCCCCAGCTGGCCTGGAACTTATTATATAGACCAGGCTGGCCTTGAACTCACAGAGATCTGCCTCCTAAAGTAATTAGTTTTAAAAGTAAAATAAAAACACTTTTAAGACTTAAAGCAAAATAAATGGATTCTGAAGTTACTTGGCCAGTAGCATGTATTTTTTAAAAAAAGACAAGGAAGGCGGGGCATGGTGGTGCACGCCTTTAATCTCAGCACTTGGCAGATCTTTGAGTGCAAAGCCAGCCTGGTCTACATAATGAGTTCCAGGACAGCTGGGGCAACAGGGAGACCCTGTCTCAAAAAAGACAAAAAAAAAAAAAATAGACAAGGAGACAGGCTGGGTGAGGAAGAGAAAAGAAAGGGAGAAGGGAGAGGAAGAGGGAACAGGGACAAAGGAGAGGAGAAAAAGGAGAACAAAGAACTGCTGGTCAAACCATTATAGATAGATACTCTAGTTATATAGTGCCAATGACCCATAAGCATGGACAAGACCAGCAACTCACCGAAATATAGGGGTGTGGCCAGGCTTTGGTTTGCTCCAGGTAAAGGGTGAAGGAACTGAAAGAAATTGGTCACCAGATGAATCTTTCTTTAAAGGATACTGAGATCCAAGGCCATCATCTATTGAAGTCTCCCGGGATGGTGATAAGCTCCCTTGATCATCTGAACAGAGTTCTAATTTTCCTGGTAGTATGGCAGCTTGATCTTCAGAAGTCTTCCTTGTTTTCAAAGGGATATCAGTTTCCACACAGTACTGAAATGGAAAAAGTGCAGGGCCAACACCTGCTCCACTGTGAACAGAAGCAGTAAGCCAGGTATCTTCTGTTATACTTCCTCTAGGGGAGTGACCAGGAGAAGGAACAGGTGAGTGATGGGGTGAAAGGGAACCAGCATAACACACTTCAGCACTGGAGTGCCGTCGTTTCCCACAGGGGGAAGTGGGCCTCGATGAGGGTCCTGAGGCTGGCCTGGGGCTCAGCCAATTCTCATCAGTGATACTGGATCTGGGAGAGTGGCAAGGAGATTGCCTAGGTGACAAAGAGTGTCCAAGTCCATACTGTTGATGCCACGAATCTTCTCCAGGGCAACCTCCTGGAGAGCCACCTGGAGAAGTCAGAGGAGATCCAAGAGTAAATCGAGCAGCAGCTTCATTCAGCTCTGAGTCCACATCATCATAAATATGTGAGAGAGATTCACAAGACGATGCATCTGAGAACCAGCTCCTAGAAGAAATGCTGCTGGCAGGACTAGGACTAAGGGAAGACTCTCGGTAGGAAGGCTCAAGAGGAAGGTAGAGATGATCTCTAGAAGGCCTTTCCAAATATTCCCTTTCTGGATCATTTATATGTAGATCATCTTCATGGACATCTGTTTCTTGATGACAGTTAGGAGAGATGGATGTAATTTGAATACTTGGGCACTCAAAGGGTTTGGGACCACCTAATGGGCTATATTTGGATTCAGGAATATCACCAGTTTCTTCATAGTTTTTGTGACCTTGGAGCTGAAATGATGGTGACAAAACAGAAGAGTGAGACGGCAATCCATGATGTGGTAAGCCAAGTGATGAGTTTAAAGAAGATGGAGGTGGATCTACATTAAAGATGTAAATGGATGCACAATCATCTGGCTCAAGATCTATAGGAGGGAAGCAAAAAAAAAAAAAAAAAAAAAAAAAAAAAAAAACAACAAAAAAGAAATTAGAAAATTAAGGTGTATAAATCACTAGATGAGAAAGCAAATCATAATCCTGAGAGAAAAAATGGAGACACCAAAATGCATGTCATTAGCTCCTCTAAAGAGTTGGGCATGGAGGCCAGGTGTGGTAGCATATGCCTTTAATCCCAGCACTCGGGAGGCAGAGGCAGGTGGATCTCTGTGAGTTCTGGGCCAGCCTGATCTCAATAGTGAATCCAGGCTACAGGAGACCCTGTCTCAAAAAAGACCACAAATAAATAAATAAATAAATAAATAAACAAACAAATAAACAAACAAAAAATATTGCTAAAATCATGCATGATTTCAGTTTCATTCTTAGATTATTATATACCAATTTAGTTTATAATTTTATTCTAATGTAATTATTATACCAATGTCATTTCAATGGTTGACTAAATCTGAAATCCCTATCTTTCTCCAAGTAAACTGTAGACAAAAGTAAACACATTATACATAAAAATGATGTCTTGAGGCTATGGAGATGGCTTGGTGGGTAATAATGCTTGCTGTGCTGACATGAGGACTTGAGTTCAAATCCCCAGCACCCACATAAAATGCTGAACATGCCTGTAATCCCAGCATTAGGATTGGAGTCAGGGAGATCTCAAGAGTTTCCTGCAGGCCAGTCAGCCTAGTCAAAATGGTGAGATGGTTCAGAGAGATCCATCTCAAGGCAATTATGTGGAAAGCAATAGAGGAAGATACCCTACATCCTCCTTTGGTCTGTTACGTGCATTGGTGGGTATACATACCTGCATACTCATATGAATACATCACACACACAAAAAAAATGATGTCTTGAAGTAGTACAAAGACATGAACACAAGAGATGAAGTTCTGCTTCATCTTTTCCCCAAGTGTCTTCAAAGTCCAAACTCTGAAAATGATAGCAACAGCCCCTACAGTCACAGGTTAGATTTCCAACTCTAGAATTCACCATGCTTGTAAATCTGACCAACTCAAGATTTATTTATGATCTATCAGCCACCAGAGGGCCTCAGGAAAGCATATAGTAATCTGGAAAACACAGACTGCCTATTTTTTTTATATTACTTGCTAACAGTAAACCAGGGGTTGTCAAAATACAGCATATGAGCCAAATCTGGCTAGCACCTGTTTTTCTACAGCCTACAAGCTAAGAATAGTCTGTGGGGTTTTTTGTTGTTGTTGCTGTTGAGGGGGATTTTTTTGAACCAGGGTCTCCCCGTAGCCCCAGCTGTCCTGGAACTCACTATGTAGACCAGGCTGGCCTTGAACTCACAGAGATCCACCTGCCTCTGTCTCCCAAGTGCTGGGATTAAAGGCCTGCATCACTATGTCCAGCTTAAGAATATTTTTTAAAAAAATATATTTTAACCGGGCGTGGTGGCGCATGCCTGTTGTCCCAGCACTTGGGAGGTAGAGGCAGGCAGATCTCTGTGATTTCAAAGCCAGCCTGGTCTACATAGTAAGTTCTAGGACAGCTGGGGCTACATGGAGACCCTGTCTCAAAAAGACATATATATATATCTTTCAATAAGAAACATTAAAAATGAATTATTTTCTGCAATATATTTTAAAGTGTTTTGTTATATTCAAAAAACCTCACAGTGAGCATAATTTAATTTTGGTGATGACTCCAGATCATTCTGTGAACACA